TAATATATTCTAATCGATTAAAATAATATACTTCACAATATTATATAATTTTATTACTGTGTGTAAATATGTAAAGGTCAGGTCACCAGTCATTTCAAGCAGGTTCATTATTTCAGGTTAAGGGTCAAGAAATATTTTTCACCAATATTATTATTAGTCATTACATGTCTACAAGCAAGTTTAAATCGTCACAAAAATACATCAATTCCTAACTAATTTTGTATCAATGATATGTTTTAAAATTTGACATACAGATTAAAAATATATTTTAAAATTCAATAAATAACCCGGGCATTGCACGGGCAAAAAACTAATCAATATATAATTTTAGGAAACTTAGTGTGATTTTTTAAGCTTCTTAAGGCCCTATAGCCCTTATTCAATTATCTTCACTTAAGCTATGTACTATTCACTTGATTTTATCTTATTTAAACATATTTGAACATATTCGAACTTGATAAACGTTATCAACCTTGAATAAGCAAGCTAAAGGTTGATAAGGCCACACAATTTCAATCAAATAAATTCTAATAAGGTTTGATAAATTTATGTGACGTACTAGATAAACTTAGATAAATTTTTGTAAGATTAGATTAATAAGTTTAGATAAATAGAAATGAGTTAAATAGAATTCACCCTATATGATATGATATTTTTTGATAAAGATGTCTTTGGGCTGGGTAGCGCAGGGCAGGGCTAGGTAGGCCAAGGTAGGATAGTGCATTACTGGGATTTGGACCCATGGGCTCAAATGGACCTATAACAGGCGGAGGGTTGAGCCCAAATCACAAAAAACTAGGCCTCGACCCAGGACTATAGGCCGGCCTAGCCCAAAGCCATCTTTAATCTTAGGCTAGCAACTATCTTTTTCTATTTTATTTAAAAAAATATGTCTTTATTTATTTGTTTTTTATAAAAGTGGGAGAAACTATCATCTTTCTTTTATCTGATCCACCAATATTGTTACGTAGGGTATCTTATATACACATCTAACTAATTGGTCTTAAAGACGTACTTGAATGGTTCACAACTCACAAGCATAAAAAATAAGAAGTATAATTTACCTATTATGTTTATGGGTAATGCTATATATGTAGCCCTAAGGGCTGTATATAAGCATAAATTAACTCTTGGAAATTGTATAAAATTAGGAATTCATGACAAAAACATGCGTAAATCAGTGTAATTAGGGTCTGTTCTCATTAACTGAACTCAACTGAACTGAACTGAACTGAATTGAGCTGAACTGAACTGAACTGAATTGAGCTGAACTGAACTGAGCTGAACTGAACTGAACTGAAATGAATATTTTATAAGAGAAGGAAATTAGAAGCTGAACTGAACTGAACTGAACTGAATTTCAACGTAAGAGAACAGACCCTTAGTGTTTATATTTTGATGATTTCTTAACTTTTTACGATTTTCAAGTGTAAATTTAATACTTATAAGTAGCCCTAAGGGCTAATGTATAACATTTTCCTTTATTTGGGAAGTACTATTGAAATTTGACTCCACTACACTATAATACTAATTAGTGGAGCTTAAGAGAGAAATTAGTTGGATCCATCAAATTGGTTTGTGGACAAGCAAACAATAATTAGCCATGAATTTCGTCCAAATTGATAGCCGTAAAATATAGTTAATTAGTGCAAATTAAATCTTCAATATTGTAAACAAATTAGTGAATTACAGATAATTATGCATCATCCATGATGTCAACAAATTATTAATGATTATGCATCATCCATGCATGATTTTACACGTACACATTAGTGACTTGGATAAGATCAAATAATGTTAATTGTGTTAGCTACATAAGGAAGTATGGGATCATTTTTCCATTCCTCGAATAAAGAGTTTCTTTTGAAATACACCGTATAAAATTGTCTCACATTATATTATTAATACGGAGTATAAAATTAAAAAAATGTAGTCATATTTGTTTCATGCATTTAAAGACGGATCCAGGGGGTGGCCAGCTCAGGCCACGACCCCCCTATGATCCAAAAATCATATAAGAAGTTTAAGCTGCATTGCAATAAGAGCCTGTTCTCTTACGTTGAAATTTAGTTCAGTTCAATTCAGCTCAGTTCAGCTCAGTTCAGTTCAACTCAGTTCAGCTCCTAATTTCCTTCTCTTATAAAATATTCAGTTCAGTTCAGTTCAGCTCAGTTTAGTTCAGTTCAGTTCAGCTGAGTTCAGTCAATGAGAACAGACCCTAAAACGCAAGGTTACTTGGCTGATTTGGTTTTGGCTCACATCTCATAACATGTAGGTTAAGAGATCAAAACCCAAACGAGCCCATTTATTACTTTTTTTTTTTTAATTATTTTTTTTATACTATTCTTTTAATCTTTCTTATTCTTTGTCAAAAAAAATCAAACGTTAAATAAATATTAGTTAATTTATACATAAGCTTTAGAAATTTGGCTCCGTCTACATATAATTCCTAGATCCATCCTTGCATGCATCTTTTCTTTACTTTTTCTTTTTTTTTTTTTTTTTTTTTACTTTTTTCTTTCTTTTTTTAAAAAAAAAAAGTTCATGCATCTTATTTTAACTTATTTTATACTGTAAATAAAATTTAAAAAAAAAGTTAAAAATTTATGATCTTTATTAAGATTACTTATTTTTTTAAAAGATAATTTTAGATGATAAGATAAATAGGTTCAGAAAATTTGTATTTTCTTATTCAGATGATTAAGACAAAGTAAGTTGAATCAACACGACCGGCATTATAATAACACATACAAGATTGTACCCTACAAGAATTTTTTTTTCTTTATTAAAAAAAAATTTACATTTTATTGCTTGAATCTTTAGTCGACTGGTCTTCATCAATCATCATTCATGTTATATTAGGACAGCAACACAAGTAGAGTTGATGTATGAAAACCAATACACCATTTAACTCTGTATGTGTTGAGATTCAAAGCCATAAACAAATGTACCAATAGGCACACTGATAGAAACTTCCTCTCAAGTTAAGATTTGGAAGGTCCATTTTCTTAGTGAGATTTAATCACACATATTTTTTCTTAAAACAAGTTATTAATTAGATCGAAATAAAATTATAAATAGTAGTGGTTCATGTGGTTGTATGCACACACATAGATCTCTGTCCTAAATTTTATTTTCAGGTTAAAAATGTTGAGAATATATCCTAAAGTTAATTTAAAGGAGTAATTAGTAAGTATCGTAGAGTTTAAGTTTTTAATTAATTAGTTAATCAATCAATGTTCCCACCTAAAAGAATTAGTGCTAATATGCATGGTGTGGCTAAAATGTGACCATTGGATCTAAATTTTCGATACAAACATGTTTCTCTCTTACGCAATTATTATAGAGACTCGAGCTTCTCAATTCTATTCTTCCATCTAGTTGACTAGTCTTGCTTATTAGTTTTGCACGTATTCTCAATGACGAGAAAGTATTATAGAAGTATGCGCACGTGGTGAGACGGGTATAAGTTATTGGATATTTTATACGGAGTATAAGTTTTTAAACAATTCAGTTTATAAATATAGATATAGAATTTAAGATACTGAATTGGATATATCAAACTCATGAAAAAACATACCGACTCTCCTAATACATTTTGATTCTCATATTGTAGTGAATTTACAGGTAGTACTCAAAATAAGCCTGTATTTTTCCGTTCCCTTTGAAACATTTGTTTTATATGGATAAAAATTCTCTCTATCCTTTTCCTCGTCACATGAGTTTCTTTTTATCATCTCCCTTCATTTCCTAAAATATCATGCTACTTCACGTTACAATTAAAAGAGAACGAAAAAAAATACTTATGTTCATCTGCCAAACATTAAGTGAGTGACAATCGTCTTGCACAATTTGTACTATACGTTTAACCACATTCTTGACCAAACTAATCTATACTTAGTATTTAAAAACTATAACCAAGGAAAACACACGTCTCCATCCTATTGCACTTCAATATCTTTTTCTCTAATCCAAATGCCACATGTATTCTTACATCATTAATTAATTTTTTATTACACTATATTTCTTTAATTCTTTCATGTACATTTTATCTTCATCTTCCCTATTCCATTCAAGCTTTTGCTTTTCTCTCTTTAATTTAACCACTCCACCCTTTTCTCTCTTTAATTTTAACCCCTCCCTTATTTAATCCCCATTTTCAATTACAATTCCAAAGATTAAATTTCTTTAATCATATTATTTATCACACATTATGACCATAGTGGCTTATTGATATTTCATAATTCATCTTTCAATGCAATTTTTTTTATGAATAACCCGTGCATTGTACGGGTCAAAAGACTAGTTAATAATAATAAAAGTATTCTTAATTAGGTAGATGGTTGGAGTTTTCCATATATACATGTCGACAACAAACGCCTAATACTATATATGATTAATTGATTTTTACATAGGCAGGAATTCCTCATTCACAAAATATATATGATGGTTTAATTTATAATATCTAGATTGATAAGACATCTAAAAGCGTGTATATGTTGTGTTCATCCCATAGTCCGGAATTCTCATTCACATAAAATCATTCATATGCAATATTGTAATATTAATATTGTTTTAAGCAAAAACAAAACAAAATTTGAATTCCTGCATTAATTGTGATGTTTTAACTAAATTTCCCTATTTTATTTTTTTAAAGATTGTCCCACGTTTTTTATCAAGTTGTCTCTAAACGATTGTTGGCATGGTAATCACGATTTCTTTCTACTTTATATACAATCATACATGCTAAATAACATATTTTCTCATCTTTTTAACACAACTTTTTTTAAAAAGTTAAAACTGAAATAAGAATATTTATTTACTACGTATTATTTATTTTAAAAATGGAGTACTAAATTACTTGTGTATATCATACTTCAATCATGCATGCATTATTGTGGACCATTATATTGGAAATGACAAATCCCAATTGGAGACTATTATTAATCCAAAACTTAGATAAATAATATGCACCACATTACTGCTTGCTATAAAGTGACAACCAACATTAATGTCAGAATAAATTTCAGGATACTTGTTCATTTTCCCATCTATATAAACCGATCTACATTTTCAAATAAAAGTATTTAGGAAGCAATATTTCTTAACACTCTCATCTCCCATAAATAATATATAAAATAAAAAAAAGGGAAGAGTTCTTTGCATTGCTAGGTTGCAATAATATGGAGATTGATAAAAAAGAAAGCATGGAGGAGAATAACAAGAAGAAGATCGTGTATAGTGGTGTCAAAGCCATGCCATTTGTTATAGGTACCTATGTCATACCCTCACCTTTTTCCGTTCTCTTTTACAATATTTTTTCTGTCTATAAAAATTCTTCTTGTTTGAACGGTGATTGTCTCAATTAAAATAAAACTTTTTAGAGATAACGGGAAAATTAGTTTTTGGTGAAAGATAGCTTGGAATATAAATTTATGGATAATTTATAAAAATTGTTACACATTAATTTTTACAATAACTGTAGGAAGATTATCTATGATTTACAATGAAAAAAAAATATTTCTTCGTTTTTTCTTAAATGCCGTTTAGTTAGTATTAAAAAACGAAGGAAGTGTATACAATTAAGTAGTTATGCTTTTGTGACCTTGTCTTGGTCTAGTGGTACGAGCTGAACTTTGTGCATGTGACATCAAAGGGTGGAGAAAGTGAACATGAACAATAAAAGTGGTGTTATTTTTAGTAAATTATGCAAAAAAAAAAAAAAAAAAAAAAAAAAATTATGCTAATAGAGTTTCTAATTTGTTATACTTGTGTACAGGAAATGAGACGTTTGAAAAGCTAGGAACAATAGGAACATCACACAATTTATTGGTGTATCTAACCACAGTGTTTAACATGAATAGGATGAATGCTACAAATGTTCTTAACATCTTCAATGGATCAGCCAATTTGGCAACCCTCCTTGGTGCTTACCTTTGTGACACCTACTTTGGCCGGTACAAAACCTTGGGGTTCGCAAGCATCGCCTCTTTCTTGGTAACATACGTTACTTTACGGATTTTTTAAGTGGTCGTTTGGTTGAAATTAGGAAATATTATTTCTAAAGTTAACCTATGTCAATTTTGATTGTAGGGAATGCTATTTCTTACAATGACAGCCGTAATACCATCGTTACACCCTCCACACTGCGCTACAGGCGAAAATTGCGTGGGAGCAACAACAGGGCAGCTAGCATTTTTGCTAGGAGGATTAGCATTTTTGATCATAGGAGCAGGGGGGATTAGGCCATGTAACTTAGCATTCGGAGCAGATCAGTTTGACCCGGAAACAGAATCGGGTAAACGAGGGATCAGTAGCTTCTTCAACTGGTACTACTTCACGCTTACATTCGCAATCATGATCTCTGTAACCTTGGTTGTGTACATTCAGACTGATGTTAGCTGGGGTATAGGCCTTGCAATACCGGCTTTTTTCATGTTTCTTTCGTGTGCGTTGTTCTTCTTGGGGACTAAGTTGTATGTTATGGTTAAGCCCCAAGGAAGTCCCCTTGTGAGTGTGGTGCAGGTCATGGTTGCTGCTTTTAAGAAACGCGGCTTGGAGTTGCCGGAAAAGCCTTCCCTCTCCTTGTTTGATCATGTTCCTCATCAGTCTATCAACTCCAAGTTCCCTCATTCTGATCAATTCAGGTATGACAGTTATACTTGATACTATTTTTAGATGTCCGGAAAAAAATACCGCCACGATTCCTTATGATAACTCACTAGTGGAAACAATACTATTAGTAACTGGCAAAAAATGACTTTTAGTAACTGGCATTGTTAGTTGCAATTAACTAATCTGATGATGTTTTTCTGTGCTTTGTAGATGCCTTGACAAAGCAGCTATCATCACAAACGACGACAAAATCAATCCAGAAGGATCAGCAGCAAACCCCTGGAAACTTAGTCCTGTACAGCATGTAGAACAAGTAAAATGTGTAATCAGAGTATTTCCCATTTGGATTTCTGGTGTCTTCTACACCATATCCATGGTAACGACAGGAAACTACGTCGTATTCCAAGCCTTACAGTCCAACAGAAGCCTAGGAGGAACTAACTTCAAGATTCCAGCTGCGTCCTACACTATATTCTCCATGCTAGCAATGACAATCTGGATACCTGTCTATGACAGAATCGTAGTTCCGAAACTCAGAAAAATGACAGGAAAAGAAAATGGGATAACAGTCCTGCAGAAGTTGGGGATTGGTATGGGTCTTAATATTATAGCCCTTGTTGTTTTCGGGCTAGTTGAGCAGAGGAGAAGAGTATTGGCTCTGACTAAGTCGAGTCTAGAGGTTGATCCTCACAGAGGTGTGATTTCATCATTCTCAGCAATGTGGTTAATACTTCCTTTAGTACTTTCAGGACTGTCAGAAGCATTTGCTATGATCTCGCTTGTTGAATTTTACTATAAGCAGTTCCCAGAGAACATGAGAAGCATTGGTGGCGCGTTCTTGTTCTGTGGGATGGCTGTTTCGAGTTACTTAAGCAGTTTCCTGCAGTCTGTTGTTGATAAGATGAGTAGGAACTCAAAGAGTGGAAGTTGGTTGAACGAGGATTTGAACAAAGCAAGGCTAGATTATTTTTATTATGTCATTGCTTGTTTACAGTTTGCTAATCTTTTCTATTTTTTGGTGTGTTCAAAGTGGTATAGGTATAGAGAAAGTATTAGTACCTCTACTGATGAAAGTATAGATGAAATCAAATCCGAAATATCTCTTGTTTGAACATGGAAGATTATATAACAAGTACTAGCTTAGTTTAGTTATGTCGTCTTAGCTTGATGCATAAATTTTAGTTCTTGATCTTCTAATTTGTACTAATACAAGTAAAGACAGTAAGAGGTTCTCTAAGTTCAATCTTATGATGTTACGTCTTTTTTCCACTTGCACAAAACCTATAAGAAAAAGAGGATGCCCCGATTTCTCATGGTTCATAATGACATTTTTGTGAATAAATCAACAACTTTTTCATTATTGTGAGCTCCACAATTGAATAAAGTTGTTAATTTATTTACGAAAATGCCATGTGAGAAATAAAATTTGTTTCTCACCATGAGAAACAGGGAATTTCCCTAAGAAAAATATGTTAGGATCGGGAGAAAATTTCTAAGTCCAATCTCGTGATGTTACATTTTTTGTATTGTAAACAACATGTTAGGAAAAATGAAAGATTACAAATTACTACAGTTCCAAGATTAAAGTTTTTTATTTTTTACTTACTCATCAAACCCTAAAAGAAAAACACGTTTAGCAAGAGGTTTCTAAATTCATCTTATGATGTTACAATTTTTGTGTTGTAACCACATGATTGGAATTGAAAAAAAAATGAATGATTACAATTCTACAATCCCTACAATTCCAAGACCAAAGCTTTGATATATATTTTCTTAGCCGGCCTATAAGAAAAACATGTTTAGGAAAAGGCTTTATCGAAATTCAATTTTCAATTAAAATAAGCTCAATCAACCAGAAAATATAACGAGTACATATTTAGCTAAATTCAAACAAAAGTAAGTTTGATCAAAGAAGTATATAAATCCATACAGTATAAAGGTTTTTCAAGTGATAAGAAGGAAATTTTTACGGATAAAATAAATTTTGATGCCAATGAAATTCACCAAATAATATCTAGCTAATATTGTGCTTTTGCACCACGAAAATGTGTCATTTTCTACTATAGCAACACATGACATGGGGACCAAAAAAATATTAAAAGTGATGTCACTAAGTGTAACATAATTGTACTAGAATTGTTTTTCACAAAGTTGGAATCTTATCATCTTAAGATGATAGATAGATACTATCTTGTTAATGGCAATAGGGGATTTATTTAAATTGAATGCATTTCCCACAATTAATGGCTATAAAAACTTAGGGGACCATAATAACATATAATTACTACAGTAGTTGTCAATTTAATTAAATAGGAACAAAAATTTGATGGAATATCCCATTAAATTCCTACAACTTTTTGTTTGTTGAGGGGATGTAAGAGGAGTTGATTTAGCTTTTGTTTGAGAAGAAAGATATTGTAACCAAAGGAGGAGGTGGAACCAATGCAAGGGGTGTCTTGAGAATATTCACGGACACAATCAAGATAGAATTTTTGTTCATGCACGTACAAGAACCACATAATTAAATAAATAATAATGATTATAACATGTACAAGGTACAACCAGTTTTACAACTTGATAATCATGAAACTTGAAATTCGTTTTATTTAGGATGTACTAAGACATGTTGCACTCGATCTAGGATCATTGATAGATTGAAAAACCGCTATTCAAACTCCATAGTAGTCGCGTACATTTGAACTTCCAAATCTTATCGTAATTCATAATTTCGAGGGGGAGGAGGAAGCCAAAGTCAAAGAGAACCATCCAAGCTGCTCAAACACCATTACTAGCTAAGAGACATGGAAAATGGAATGTACCAAAGAGGCGTAACAAAGCATTCAACTACAAGGCTAGATAGGCCGCGTAAGAAGATAAATGAATAGCGGCATAATAGTATTGAGAAGTCACTATCAGCCTATACGGTCACATAAATAGTCTACATGAATTGATTTATGTGATAGTCATCTCCAGCTATAGCCTAGCTAGAACTCCAGAAAGAGCTTCTAATTGCGCACATTCAACTAATTTAGTCGGTAAAGTTTTTAATTTAATATTGATAAGTGACATGCTAGTAAAACCTTTTCAAAATCCACCAACTTAATTTAATTTAAGACCGAATATCATCTACGCCATATCACCTTGTCTTGCTGACACCCTTAGAAGTTAAAATACCTTTTAAAAAAGATGTAAAGGCGCTTTTTTAGTTTAGAACTTTTTTTCTTCATCTTTTTTGACAACCACTATTTCATGTTTCAATCATGAAATGTACTTGTATGAGTGTATCTTGTTTGATAGTGCATGTTCACTAATCAGTAAGTGATTGCCAACCTTATACTATAAATCTAGAACACAACAGAAAGTGAGAAAGGTGAACATTATAAACAAATATTTGATACTATATGATATCTTAATTGTTATTTAAACCAATTTAATATACTATCTAAGATTCTTTGGATTTGGTTTGACAGCATAAAATACCATTAACAATCTAACATGTCATTTGCAAATCGGCGGTCATAGCGATGACTTTAGTACTCATATCGTTGTCAAGCAACGTTATCATAGTGTGAGCGCAAGGAAGTAGGAATGGCAAGCTGACGTCTAGTTTGTCTCGTAACACTAAAAATGTCTTACTCGACGTACTCTCAAACCAATCATATATTTATACTCCGTATTAGAAACTTTGTTTTCTATTACAGAGTATAAAGAGAATTGATTCAGTTTAATTTAACCCTTAAATTATTGAGCAAAATCCGTTGAGAATGATATATGATGTGTGGTTGTGACCATGATAATGTGGCACTCTTAGATGCAAGGGAATTTATTGTATGAACCCCAAGAAACAAGGTAGGGAAAGTTGTTTTCTAGTCCAAGGGATAGATGTGTCTTATTACTCCGTCCTATCATACTCTAAATCTAGCCAATTTCGGAAAATAACAATAATTTCATATAAGCTAAAGTTTGGGGTTAGTAATTTCAAATAAGTTGAATTCAGGTTAAAAGTTATACGAGTTTAATACACAAATATAACATGTCGTAGTTAGTTCAAATGTGTAATAGTGAAAAATTACCTAGGTGAAGATAATAAACACTAGATTGTTCTCGTTGCTAAAGGTTTTAGTCGTCGTTCATATGACATATTTTTAACCATCTATACAGTATTGTAAATTTTGAAAAAATCAAAGAGCATGATGAGGTATAGAAATTTTCTTAAGGAAGGTTCACTTCTCTTTTTGGAAAGAGGTCAAGGTAGGTAAACATTATATCAAAGAGCCTTCAATAATTAAACTTAGCACCAATATTTCTGACTTATAAAGAGCTCACTCAAGCAAAGCACTATAAACTTAATAAAAACAAAAGAAGCAACATAATCCTCAGGAATAGCCATGGAAGAACCTAAAACAGTTGTAGATAATGAAAAGCCAAAGCTCAACTACAAAGGATTAAAGGCCATGCCTTTCATCATAGGTAAGAATATACCATTATCGCGATTTTTGTACTACTGTAATCAAACTAATCATTGTGTACAAAATTTCAGGAAACGAGACATTTGAGAAGCTCGGGGCAATTGGTACCTTGTCCAATTTGTTGGTCTACTTAACAACAGTTTTTAACATGAAGACTATAACAGCAACAACTTTGATCACTGTCTTCAATGGTACAACCAACTTTGCAACTCTGCTAGGTGCTTTCCTTTCTGATACTTACTTTGGCCGCTACACCACCTTGGGATTCGCTACGATTGCCTCGTTTTTGGTACTTTGATCTGCCTCTTGCATCCTCTTATCAGAAAGTATTTCCATGTTCAAAGAGCAACAATTGAACTAAGGTGCAATAGTACAGTAATATAGCAGGATTTAGTGTCAGATGCTTGCAGCTTACCTTTGCAGTTAGACTGTTAGTTCTAATTTCTGCAGTCCTTTGACAAAATTAACATAAGTAGTAAAAACTATACGTATGACTAACTTAAGGTTTGTTATGCAGCTTAAATCATACGATATACAATTTCCGAAATCTCATAACTGACAGAGATTCTGAACAAACTCTTAACATCAAATTTAGGATGTTTTAGTTCCTGTTTTTTTCTGCTTCATTTTCAAGTTGCAGAGTTTTATTTCTTGAAATAATACTATAACTAGCAATGATTAAGCAGATGATTTGGACAACAGAAAACTCGAACAGTCGAACTAAAAAAAAAAAAACCTTTTCAAACTTTACAATTAAGTGCCTGAATATAAGCAAAATCTTACTCTCTGCAAACTGTTTTCAGGGATTATTTGTGATAGACTTAACATCAGTAATCAAGAAACTTCATCCATCCCCTTGTGGCGACGAAGCAAAAGTCTGCAATGGACCGTCACAAGGGCAGTTAGCATTTTTGCTGATGGGGTTCGGACTGCTGATAGTAGGAGCAGCAGGCATAAGGCCATGTAACTTAGCCTTCGGGGCTGATCAGTTCAACCCTAATACAGAATCAGGAAAGCGAGGGATCAACAGTTTTTTCAATTGGTACTTCTTCACTTACACTTTTGCACAGATGGTGTCCCTGACACTGATAGTTTATGTGCAGTCTAATGTGAGTTGGAGTATTGGTTTAGCCATTCCCGCGGCTCTTATGCTGTTAGCGTGTATACTGTTTTTCATGGGCTCGAAGATCTATGTGAAGGTTAAGCCTGAAAGTAGTCCTATGGTGAATTTAGTGCAGGTTATAGTTGCTGCTGTCAGAAAAAGAAAACTGAAGCACCCGAATTCTCATCAGTTTGAATCTGTACTCAAATATTTGCCTTCTGATTCTATCAACTCCAAATTACCTCACACAAATCAGTTCAGGTACGAAAAATGCACTAGATTGGAAAGTTGACAGCATTGTTTAGATTTTCAATAGATATTGTGTTACACCTACTGAAAATGTAATGAAATCTTTTCAGATTCCTTGAGAAAGCCGCGATTATAACCTCTGAAGACCAAATTAAACCGGATGGGTCAGCAGTAGACGCCTGGAAACTCTGCACGATGCAGCAGGTAGAAGAGTTGAAATGTGTACTAAGAGTGTTACCTATATGGGCATCAGCCATAATATACCATGTTCCTGTTGTGCAAATGCACACGTACGTGATATTCCAAGCACTTCAGTCAAATAGACGCCTTGGAAAAACAAATTTTCAAATTCCAGCTTCATCCTACATTGTTTTCATGATGATAAGCCTCACTGTTTGGATCCCAATCTATGACCGAGTATTAGTCCCATTCCTCGAAAAAATCAGGGGAAAAGAGGGGGGAATCACAATCCTCCAAAGGATGGGAATCGGAATAATATTATCTATTCTAACCATGCTTGTGGCAGGGTTAGTAGAAAGTCATCGCAGGAATCTTGCTCTTACACAACCAACTCTTGGAAATCTCCCAAGAAAAGGAGAGATTTCTTCAATGTCAAGTTTTTGGCTGGTTTTTCCTTTAGGCATAGCAGGGTTTGCTGAAGCATTCATGGCAATCGGTCAAGTAGAGTTCTACTACAAACAGTTTCCGGAGAACATGAGGAGCATTGCTGGATCCATTTTCTTTTTAGGCATCGGAATGTCAAGCTACTTAAGCAGTTTTCTGATCTCCATAGTTCATAGAACAACAAAAAAAGGCGCATCAGGTGATTGGTTAGACGAGGATCTTAACAAAGGGAAACTAGACTACTTCTATTACATGATAGCTGCACTATGTACCTTCAATTTTGCTTATTTCCTTGTCTGTGCTAAATGGTTTAAGTATAAAGGCAGTAGCGAAAATGCCAAGAAAATAGATGCAGAGCCTATTGGGTGTGTAGAGCTTAGTGAGTCTCATAAGGGAGCTGTATGATTTTCACAATAATAAAATGCAGAAACAAGAAATTTCCAACTTTTACTTGAGTACTTCGTATATACTTGTATAATTTAAATCGAATTCTACGATGCCTTATCATAACAACATACATTTGGGGATGAAGTTGCATTATTGTGATCCAAGTACTTCTTAGAAAAATAAGATTCAAAGCTATGAGAGCGAGCGACGACAAAATAGAGGTAAAGATGGTCCCTAACCTCCTACTCCTCTAGTAGAGAAAATGTCAAGGCACAATTACTGCAGTTTTGGCTTTAAGAGCCAACTTTCTACATGTCCTGTTCCACATGCTTTAAACTACAAAATGTGAAAGAAATGGATGGAATTGATAGAAAAGAGTCAAAAGACAAGTGCATTATCAATCACAAGAATACAATCCAAAAATAAAGTAAGACTTTTATAAACTTGAAATTTATACAATCTTTGACAATAATAAACTAGAAACAACAAAAACATTTAAAAACAAAAAAAGGTCTATTTATACTCATATATGACTAATAACAGTGGACGAAAAGTTATAAATGCCAATTAGTGAAATTATTGTTATACTGGAGTAAGCACTAATGACATTTCGCACCTTGTTAGTTGCCATAGGTGTTATAGGTGATTACAATTCGTCTGAAAGTAGACGTATTTCCAACTCTCCAAAGAACGGTATGGAAGGCTTTGAAAGTTATAGCATTGTAACAGAAGCATCAAAGAAAAATCTGCTTCAGGAATAATCGTGCAGAAACAAGCCTCTTAACATTGTTAGAAAATAAGCTAGTGTTATCCACCAGCAAATGCACTTACAATGTCAAAAGACCGAAAAATACTCATCTAAATCAAATGCTGATGCAATGATGCTTTAACCGTTCTTTCTGTTTTGCTAAATCATTTTAATGATGAACATACACTCATTATATACCTGAATTCAATTCAGGTGCTAGTAATGTCATGTAACTTTAGTTATGTTACAGTTTAATTGGGGTTAATGAAGATCGGTGTTGTCGAGTCTACTAGTAACTTGTACGAGGTGTAACCCATAAGTTCTTTGCTCCATCAGAAGCAATCAGCATCATTCTTTGCTCCTCGTCGAAACCCTCAAAGCACAAGTGATCTTCTGAATCACAAATAAGTTCCTTTTGAGTATAAAACCTCTCTGTTAGCTAATTTAACAGATGTAAGTGACAATTATATACGAAGTACTTTTTACCAATAGCAATGGAACTTCAAGGACAACGACAAATCTAAGGCGCCCGACTGTAACAGCTTGTACAATTATGTTATGTTATAAGCCGTACTTGCAAGTTGCAACAGCAATGTAGAGAAGACCATGAATGGGAAATGGATGGCAAGAACCAACCATGAGAACTTTTCATTTCATAATAGCAAAAGCATGTTTACACAAATAAGGAAGTTGTTTGTAAGGGGAAAAAAAAAAAAAAAAAAAAAAAAAAAAAAAAAAAAAAAAAAAAAAAAAAAAAAAAAAAACTAACTCACAACTACATGCTGTACTTATCTTTACGCTCAGCATTTTATACTTAATGCTATTGTATAACCATGGGTTTAACCTCAAACAGTGTATGATCCCTGGATAGTCTCGATGTCGAGCCCCTTTAGTTTCACCACTGAATCCACGTGTCCTTTAAGAGTAAGAAGTTCCCTCAACCTGCAACAAGGTAAGTTCAAGTGAGCAAATGAGAATTTGTACATCTCCATTGTATGCACCAGGTCGCACAGCAAAGTACTTGTTCGGGTCAAAATCTGTTTTTTTTTCCCCCTTTATGTATAAGCTATAAAGTGTGGTTTAGTACCAACTTTTTCATGCATCTTACTACTATCTAGGGCATACACAGTATAAAAAAAATAATAAAAAAAAAAAAAAAAAAAGAAAGAAAGAAAACCAAGGAACATAGGGAACATTGAATGACATCCTTCTTCACAAAAAGGTTACCTTGCCATTTCTGCTCTTCTCTTGGCCTCTTCAGCCATTTGATTGAGTTCATGATAGCTTGTTCGTTCAGTGAACATCTTCGCTTCTGGTGCTTGTAGTCCATGGAGAGTTCTTTGTGCATGTGCCCACTTAAGTTCACGTTCTTCCTTTCCAAAATCTTTCTTTTTGGTGAAGGCAATCTGCAAATATAGAGAAAACAGTAAGTAATTGCAAAAAAAATAACGTTTTTCCTCAAAGTTTACACCAGCAATAACTTGCTGCCAACCATACCCTTTGTTCAATAACAAGATCCCAAGCTCTTCCACTCAATACATAGCGGATGAGGAATTTGACAAAATCAAGTGGAATGTAGAAGATGAGATTGTATAGCCAAATGACACCAGCCCAACCCCAACCAATCCCTTCAATTGCAGCAAAGGCCCAATTTGCATATACTGCAATCAAAGTAGCAACCTGCAAGGTCGAAAAGCTGAATTAAGATCTAACCTAGGAATCAAAGCAAATGAACTTAAAAAGTCAGCGAAGAAATGAACATTATGACATAAAAACTACTTACCAGCTGGGCGATTATGAAAGCACCAACTAGAAATAGACCAGGACGCTCCACAAATGACCAACTTCGAGATCGAGTAACAAAAATAAGAGCCTGACTAATTGTGCTGACTTGAAGATATATAGCAGATGCAAGCTTGTGCGTGATAACCAAACGTGCACTTTCAGTAGTAGCTGATTGTCTGTTTAAGTGTGAAACCCCAAACAATCTCTGCAGAATGGCCAGAAAACTTAGTCAACTTAATGGGCTATGAAAACTCAATGCAGAAATGTGGATGCAACTACACAAATAAAAAATTATAAGAGAAAAAGTTGAAATTCAACAGTCAACACTATGTTTAGTCAAAAGCACAACCACATACCGGAAAGAAATCAGTCTCATATGCTGCCCAGAAAAATATCACCGTCATCATTGCCAAGTAACTGCCAATGACAATTCCAGTGGCAAAAATCTCAGAGAGCTTCCAGCTGTCTGGCATAGGAGATGGCTTCACCCTATCCTTCGATATGGTCATAATGGTACCTGAAGGCCGAAATCATAGTCAATCAGCAAGAATAAGTACACCATATGTATTTGAGAAGCTCTTCAATGGAACAATTGATTTTTGGAATAATGTATAAACTTCCACAGAAAAGGATCAGAGTTTCAAAGTCATCGAAGTTGGTTTTGGAACAATTTTCCATAGTAATCATTCCTTCCTCTGATAGGGAAAAAGGAGTATTCATCAGTAGTACTGGAGAGGTGGGACTTATGTCGGTTTTCCTTTTAACAGATACACAGTGGTAGGGTATTGCTTCCCTTTTTCCTCAAACCACCCAGAGTAATGTAGATTAGAATGAACTGAGAGCACAAATGAGCAACAGAATCCTGTAACTCAATACAATTGGCTAATAGATGAGAAGCCAGTATTACATGCTCTGCTAGTCTGCTGAAACTTACTATTCTACAGTGGTAAAGCAGAGTATCTAGATAGAACCCAATCAAAGATTTTACACCCCAGCAGTTTCATGATTAAAGGTCTTCTAAAATTCTATTACCAACTATAAGCCTCTATAAATCAACAACACAGGGTTTGCATCTTCAAGTGAAAAATTGATAAAAATAATATGAGATTTAAAAGGTGAAATTAACATCTATAATGAACTAGAATGAGATCTTGTCAATAATTAACATTATTTTGAAAGAGGGGAGGAATCAGATAGAGAGAAAATGACACATGAGAACACATAAAACAAAAGCAAAAGCATACCATCATTGAGAATGGCAATGATAAGAACCATGAAGGGTGGAAAATCAAACTTCCATATAAGAGCCAATAGCATGAAGCCAAGCTGTCATTTAGAAAGGAAAACTGTAAGAAAATATCTGTGAAATAATCACATATATAACAGCCACAGGGACTGTACAACAAAATTCTCTCAAAACACAGACAGTAACTTACCACAATACGAATGGTAATAGAAACAGCATAAATCTGCAAGGCAGGAAAGAAGAAAGGTAAAGCCACGGAAAGTTAAAGTGGCATTTAAGTAAATACTGCCTCCTTATTGAATAGACCACAAAATGTGAAGAAAATATTCCAAGAAAAAACTTACGGTATAATTTTTCATTCTCTGGAAGATTGCTCGACTAGTCAAAACAGCACTAATAATAACACTAAGACCAGGCTCAGTAAGAACAATATCTGAAGCACTACGAGCAGCATCGGTTGCATCAGCAACAGCTATCCCAATATCAGCCTTCTTAAGAGCCGGAGCATCATTCACTCCATCACCAGTCATTCCACAAATATGTTTCCGAGCTTGCAATCGCTTGACAATTTCATATTTATGCTCTGGATTAATTTAAAATGTCAAAAAGCCACAAATATATATGTCGATAAATCCAACATGCAGATAATCTGCCCAAAAATGAAAGTAAATGGAAGAGGCTTTAATGCGGTTGCAATAGTAGTAAATTACCAGGGAAAACACCAGCAAACCCATCCGCTTTTTCAATCAGATCATCAATTGGTAAAGAAGTAATAGAATCATCCTTACTCTGCCCAAGTAAAGACGATGAAGGGTACATGTTAGTACCCATACCCAAACGACGACCAGTTTCCTTTCCAATTGCCAGCTGATCACCTGATACAATTTCAGCCATTGTGGCAATGACATTTGCATTAGCTTCCAGTGCATACACCCCAAAGGCCCAAAAAGAATGTTCTTACAGAGTTTAGACAAACTTACCAGTGATCATTTTTACACTTACTCCAAGATTCAAAGCTCTCCTTATAGTATCTGCACTGTCATGTCTTGGTGGATCAAAGAGAGGCATGAGACCAATGAATTGCCATGGACTTCCAGGACTTTCTTTCCTCCCCTCTGGAACTTCCTGAAAGAGCATGTACAGAGTATTAAAAACTGTCAATAATTTTTCAACAATAATTAGTTATCCCTTTTGGAAAAAACTCCTTTCATAAGGGATAGAAAATCACCTGGTATGCAACAGCAAGTGAACGCAAGCCTCGTTCAGCAAACTTGTCTATAACAGCATGA